TACTGTGTATGATTCGTTACCAATTCGAGGGGATTTATACGTATTTTTTAGAGATTTTTTTGAAAAGGCTCTTATTTTTCCAACAGCTAAAAAGAAAAAGAAAAAAAAAATGACACTTAGTGGAGCAGCGCTAGGCTTTCTTGCAGTCAGAGGTATTTTTGTATAGATAAGTGTCTTTTTTTTTTTTTTTCCTCTAAAAATAAAACTAAACCAGCGTGCTTTGGACCTGGGAACCAAGCTCTGTACGTGGGCAGCGCTGAGACTGCGCAGGGACCAGCACGGGAGAGGCTTTATTTTTCTAACTCGAGAGCAAAAACCAGCCAGGAGAAGAGTTTCACTATATTTTTTAACAACCGTGAGCCTTAAGAAAGAGAAACAAACAAACAAACAAACAATTATTAAAAGCAAAAATCCGCTCCCAAGCAGTCCGGGGTGCTGGGGAGAAGCCTTAAAACAGCCCTGGGAGAGTGACCGGGGCCAGCTCTGCCCAGGCCTGATGCAAAGCCCATCCAGGGGCTCCTCTCTGCTTGCAGGACGTCACAGATACTTTAAATTATTTATTTTGGGAAAAGAGCAGTTTGTTAATCAAAGTTTCCCTCGTTTTTTTTTTTTTTTGTGGTTTGATCTCCCCTCTGGTTTAAGTCCTTTCAAAAGCGATTGCATTAGTCGGAGCATTATTTGGAAGGTAACTGTGCCTGTTAAATTATGGTCTTAAACTGTAACCAGTCCTTTATTTATCTCTTTAATTCTTTTTTTTGTCGTTGTTGTTATTATTATTATTATTATTCTTTTTGGAATCTGTGTCCTGGGTTTGTACAAACTTGTGCTCTTCATTTTTTTTTTGTTTGTTTGTTTTTTCCTTTTTTTTTTTTTCTTTTGTCTTAAGGATAAACTGGAAAAAAAAAATAAGATTTGTACAAACTAAAGATTGCAAATGTAGCGTATCACTGAATCATTTGCCTTGTTTTCTGCCTCAGCTCTCTGGGACACACGAGCTCGTGCGAGGACGAGACCCCAAGGCCCCGGCCCTGCCCGGGGGTGGCTCCGTTTTAGCCTTCCACCCCCCCCAAAAACTGCCTTCAGAGCAGGGGGGGACACTGACTTTGGTGAAGCTGTGGCTGAACAGTTAAGGATTGCTTTTTAAAAAAGACAGCAAACTTTTTTTATTTAAAAAAATGATATATTTGTTAACAATTTTTTTTTTTTTTAGGGATTCAGTAGAAGAGAAAAAAAATCTTAAAGCACTCTTATAATATGGCATCTTTCTATTTCTGTATAAAAGCAGATCTTTTTAAAGTATTTCTGTAACTTAAAAGACCTGTCATTTAAATCATATTTTGTCTTTAGGTAAGTTTGGTTTTGTTTGTTTGCAAGATCCTTCTCTCTGTGAAACTTACCTTTTTTTTTTTTTTTTTTTTTGTATATTATTGTTTGCAATAAATATACATTGTATTAAAAGTTAAATGGTGCCCCAGGTGTCTTGATTCATTATCAGCCTCCAAGGAGCACTGGGGCCAAGCTGGAGCCCTGGGATGGTTTGGGGTTCATTGATGGGGTTTGGGGTGTCCCCCCCTCTTTTATCAGGGCAGGTCCTGAGTGCAGCATCCCAAGGAAACCAGAGCCAGGGGATAAATGGGAGCTGGAGATGAGTAAAACCAGACTGGAGAGTTCAGGGGGTGAGCTCCAGAGGTGACAGCTGAGCTCCAGCTGTCCCCAAGCCCCGCTGGCTCTGACCCCTCTCCCTGGGTTGTCTGCTCTGAGCTGCCTGGCTGGGGGGGATGCTGAGCACCAGACAGGGGGAAAGGCTTTCAGGTCATTCCTATAAAACTGCTGCAATCCTCCCAAACACAACCCCATCAGCCCAGACTGAGCAAAAAGCCAAAACCTCCTGAAGAGCCGAGCAGGACGTGTATCAACCTGAAGGATCAGTGCCACTGCTCATCCCCGAGCCACGGTCCCCCAGAGACGCAGCACAGACACTCCAGGAAGGAAACACCCCCCCAGCTCAGCCAAGCATTGCTTTTCCTATCAGATCCGTGCCAAATAAATCACTAATCCAATCCTACATAGTCTCTACCCCCCCACTGGTCCTCTGAGGCAGCTCAGGGTGCTTTGGGCAGGCACCTCACTCCACTGCTGCTGTCACTGCAGAGCTCACTGGTGACACAAGTCTCTGCAGGTCCCCTCCCCGACTGTCCCTCCAAGGCCACAGTTTTCACATGTGAAAACTCCTGCAAAAACCGTCCCAGCCTGCCCCAGACTCCACGAGGAGCAGCAGCTGGCACAGGGCAGCCCCACACCAGAGCCGAGCTGCTGTGGGGCCCCTCGAGGCACAGCACACAGAGAGCCCCATCACCCCAGGCTGCTCCAACACCACTCTGCCAGCAGTTCATCCTCTCTGGACTCCTGCCCTGGCTGAAAAGCCACTCTGATCCCAGCAGTGAGAGCTGCCCTGGAGCCTGGGGCACAGCTCGCTGCAGCCCCGGAGCACAGGGAGCTCGAGGCCGCCACACAAAGCCTGCACGCCGGTGTGAGATGTTTTTCCACTTCAGCCAGCTCTTCGTTTGCCCCGAGCATTAGCTGGGGTCGGTGTCACTCCACCTGTGCCATCGGCCAGGGCGGGCTGGGAACGCTCCGTTCCCGGGCGTTTCTCCGCAGCACACGGCGGGTTCCCCCTGCCCCCCCGGGCGGACTTTGCCCGCCGCCAGTTTTGGCTTTGCCGCTTCTTTGGGTAAAAGAACAAACACGGCCCCGCAGTTGTGCCGACGAGCCTCGGGGAGAGCTCGGTGGGGCCAGGGCCAGGGCCAGGCCGAGGCGATCCCAGGAACCAGACAGAGCCTTTCCGATGCTCGTGTGGGTGGGATGGGCTGTTACCCAGCAACACGCTGGAAAACGTCCCAAAATTAGGATGGCCACGGCCTGCCTCTCCAGGAGTCTGGGCCAGCAGGGACCCTTCACATCCCTCCCCCTGTTTGCATTGGGTGCAGCGAGGGCCGGAGGGTGGGAGCGGGGCAGGTCCAGCAGGGATGTCTGCGTGGGATCCAGCAGGGATCCCTGCCAGACCCTGAGCAGGCAGCCCAGCACAGCCCCAGCTGCTCCCGGGGGGGTGCGGTGGCTTTGCCGTCCCAACACAGCCCTGCTTGGCTCCCTTCTCTCTCCCATTCCGCGAGCTCCACCTTCCCACCGGAAGCATCCCGGGGGATATCTTCCTCACAAGCAACCAAAAGAGCAAAGCTCATGACCCAGCCCTGGACCTGTAATTTCTGCACTGTTTACTCATGGTGTGGGCTTTAATGCTCTTGGCCTCCACTCGGGAAAGCCAAAGCTGGATGCGGGTCCCTGCACAGCTCCAAACTTCCTGCCCACCCACGGCTCCGGGGGGCTGCCCCCTGCACGGGCTGGGAGGGGGGGATGAAGGGACACCCAGGGGGAGAAAAATGCTGGGAAAGCCTCGCAGCTTCAGGGCACCGTGTGCTAGAAAGCAGAGCAGGAGGGGTGGGGAGACAAATAATAAATGAACCGAAGGGAACTCGCACAATGCTGCAGGGCAGGTTTGAGCCGCGGAGATAAGGGCGGGTGTGGGGACAGATGCGCAGTGGGGCGGCCGCAGTGCTGCCCAGGGGGGTGGGGGGCACAGGGGGAGCCCCCCAGGAACCTGCAGAGAGCCTCGGGGCTGGAGGGGTGGGTGGGCAGAGAGCGGCTGAGCCCCACGCCGGGGCTGCTCGTCCTTCTGCACCGCCGCGGTTTGGCTCAGTGAGGAGTTTGCCTTTTTTTGGTGGGTGCAGAGGAAAAATAAGCTATTGAGAAGAAAAATAAGCTATTCAAAATCAAAAAAAACTGGGGAGAAAGTTTTGAAGCAGCCCCACGGCGCAGCCCAAGCCCCCCCCCACCCCGGGCGGGTCCTGGTGATGCCCCGGTGTGCCGGGCCGGCCGCCTGCAGCGGTGGCAGCTGCTCCCAAAGCGAGCTGCAGTTCGCATTCCCTCAGCCAGCTGTTGGTGTTGACATCCCATGAAAGCCTCCAAGAGGCAAGGCAAGCTCGCAGCCAGCTGTGCTGCGCCGGGATCCCGGGACCAGCCCAGCTCCTGCCCAGCTGCAGCGCTTGGGACATGGACCAGCCACGGAGCAGCACGGCCAAGGTGTTGCTGGGGGTTGTCTTTCCCCTTCTCAGGGCCCAGCTCCAGGAATCAGGTGGTTCAGCGAGAGAGAGGTTTGTAAGTAAAAGTGAAAGCAGCAAGTTGAGTTTCCCCCTCTGCGCCTGGTGTTTGTCTCCCTGGGGACCACGCTCAGCTCCCAGCAGGGAACTGCTGCCAACCCAGGAGAGGTGTCGGGAAGGGAGGGCAAACACAAGCCCCCTTTCTCTGCTGACACCACAAAAATTCGGCTAAGAAACTTGGATTTGATGCTGCAAAGACGGGAAAGGTGGGAAAAGAGGAGAACTTGGAGACACAGGGCACAAACGGGTCCAAGGAATCAGGGAGGATACAAAAAAAAGAAAAGCCTTAAGCATCTCTGGCACAACCTCCTGCCTTTCTGGCTGTGACAAGGAAGGGAAGAGAGGAAGAGGTTCCCACACATCCCTCCTGCTCCCCCAGCCATCTGCCCTCCGAAGGGGAGGCAAAACCCCCTCCACTGCAGCATTAACCCCTCTGGAGCAGGAGTGGATCATCACCCCATGGCCATTCCCAGGTCAAGCTACAAGGCCAGTGTCACCTAGCATTCCACAGATCCCAAAATTCCCAGGAAGGGTCCCCAGCCATCACAGGTGCCCGCATCCATGTGGGCACAGACATGCCCTGAGTGC